CAGCCTGTCTCGGTGAGTGGCGACGGCAGCGGCTGCTGGGGGTGATGGTTCTCACGGGAAGTGTCCCAGGATGGGCTCGAGGAAGTTGCTTTGTTTCCTGTGCCTGGATGAAGCAGACGTTGGGAACAAGGGCTCGCCAAAGCTGTGGCTGATTCTGACCTGCGTCTTCGTGCCCGTTGCCGTCAGGCTCATCCTCACGGCCCTAAGAAGCACCATCCCAAGGCGCTGTCTCGCCAGAGAGGAGCTGGATGGAGACGAGTGAGTTAGTTTGTTCTCTGCACCAAAGGGTGTTGAGGTGATGGGGTGTAGGTGGCACGGAGGTGTCGGTGGCACGGAGTGGGCAAAGGGACAGAGGTGGCTGTAGGCAGCAGGAAAGCTGGAACCTGGACAAGGACTCTCACCGTGCAGCATGCCCAAGGTGGGAAGAGGAAGCAGGAGCAATGGATAACAAAGGGATGAGGTGGTGCCACCCTGGGTCTGGGGGATGCTGGGAGGAGGGGTTTTGCTCCTCGCAGCTCTGTGACTGATATGAGCTGCCTTCCCGGTCCCTCTCCAGGCTGGAAGACAAGGACAGTGCGGGTGAGGAAAGGAGCGTGTCAGATGTGTAGCGGCACAGCAGGGAAGGATGTTGAAGTGTAAGTCATTGTCCAAGTAGCTGCTTGGATTTGTGGGAGTGGAGCTGTTAGCTGAGACCAGACGGAGAGTTGGACCCAGTGTTGCTTGGGGGAAGAGCTGAGGGCTGTCCCTGGGGTGGGGTCTCTGGAGAGGTAGCAGGGGTACACGTGGTGGGCCCAGCCCCTGGATGGAGATGGCTGCAGGTGGCTGCTGCCTAGAACTAAGCTGTGCCTTTGGTATTTCCTCTCTGGGCAGGGGCTGGGGCCTGGCAGCAGGGCTCAGAGCGTGGTCTGTGGAGAGCGCTGCACAGTGGAGGAGATACCCAGGCCCTGGGCTTGGGAGCGACGTGGCTCGCAGCCTGTGTAGTGGTCACTAAGTGTGTGTAGTGTGTTGTGTTTGTTCAATAAAAGGTATCTGTGATCTCTGAGGAGCTGTGTGATCTCTGAGCAGCACCATGGGCTGTGAATGGAGTGAGTGAGTGGAGGAGTGAGTGGCTGTGTGCTGTGATGGTGTGGGCAAAGGGACACAGCAAGGAGAGTGGCCAGCCCTGCCTGCAACACCCCCAGTGAGATGTCAGTGACTGAGAGGTGCTTGCCAGCCCTGGTCATCACTGGACTTCGAGATGGTGAGGTAGGAGGGGAGCAGGCCTGGCCACGTGCCAGTCATGGAGCAACCACACAGCCCTGGAGACCCTGTGCCATCCTCAGTGCCCGAGGAGCACCCGTGCTGTGAACCTGCACCCTTGCATCACTTGCCATGCATTTCATTGGTGAGGAGCTGCTCCTCACCTCCCACTGACTGTGCCCTCCGGGATCCAATGGGAGCACTGCAGAAGGAAGGATACACACAGGCTGGCAGCACTGGACAGCAAACCAGACAGACACAGGGATGCTCACTCGTGTCTTGGCCCTGCAGCCACGGCTGGTCCATAGAAGCAGGGTCTCACACTGCGCTGCCCACTGAAAGCATGTCAGCAGAGCTGGAAAATTGCTACTGCGATCCCAGAGGCACCTACCTGACCCTGGAGATGCCGTTTCATTCCTCCAGAACCAGATACTTTATCTTCCCTCGTGGGGACAGCAGCACGGGCTGCTTCCTTGGGTCCCTGCATGGGCAGCAGCAGCGGCTGGAGCTGTGAGGTTGGTCACCAGCACTAAGCAAGAGACATTTCCTGCCCGGCACATCTGCCCTTGATCGCGGCTCTGCTTGGTGCATTCAGGGATTCAAGGACTGGCAATGGATTTGCCCCACCCTCATGCCAAAACTGCTTGGGGCAAAACACCCCCCTCCTCTAGGAACGGAGCTCTGTCTAGGCTGAGGCTACAGGAGAACATCAGCCATACAGACCAGCAACACAGCCCTGCGCTTCAGAGCACCAGGAAGCTCCTCCTGGTAGCAGCCCACTAACCTGCATCCCTGCCCCAGCAAGGGGGCACCCCCATTCCCTGTAGCAACCTCAGACCTGAACCCCCAGAGATGCCTGGCTGTGTCTGTGCCCCCTGCACCCAGCCCTTCCCTTTCCAGACACCCATGGCATCTCCAGTCCGGGCCCTAGCAGCACTTACAGTGTCATTTCCCCCCACTCTATTGGCAGGGCACCCCCGAACGATCCCGCCCAAAACCCCCT